CTACTACTACTACTACTACTACTACTACTACTACTACTACTACTACTACTACTACTACTACTACTACTACTACTACTACTTCTACTTGGATCCGTGCCTGGGACCCCCAGCGGCGCCATGGGTGTCCCAGGCGCGGATCCGAGAAAACCGCGCGGAGCGCCAACAGTTTATGCTCTGGCGTTGTTTCTTCTTCTATCTTCCGCGGCCGAAGGCGGCGGGAGTAAAGCGGCGGCGGCTCCGCCAGCGGAAGCAAAGGTCGACCAGAAACAAAAAACGACACCAAGCCACCTGCGGCCCTCCAAGCAGCGTGTACCACGCAGAAGCCCACGCCAGATCACCTGGTATACGCAAAGCTCCGTGTGGACGTGGGTGGGGTGGTGTCGTTTGTTTTCTGGTCCGAAAAGTCGACCTCCCAGCATACCCATCGGTCGTTGAAAGTAGGTCTTTTTGGATTCCCAGATTCCAATCTACTTTCAGCGCCTTCCTACTTCAAGAGTCGAGTGGTTTTCCCTCTTCCTTCCTCTTCAGGAGGCGGGCGGAAACCCAATCTATTTCCAACGCCTTCCTACTTTATGTTTCTACCTACTTCTTCCGACCGTTGGGTATGGGACCATTTCTGGGTTCAGGGTTTCCGGGGTCGGCCAGTTGTGCAGATCGTCGGAACGTTTGAGTGCAAGTCTGAGCAGGTGCCGGGAGGAGGAATTCCTGGCCGACGGCTCCCCGATGTTCCGTCTAGGCAGCTCTTCGAAAGTAGAGTCAAGTCGGGCACGTCCCCCTACAAGAGGAATGTTCAAGAATGGTCAAGAAAAAGTGTCTGGGGACGATGTTTCGTGTTTTGTGTGTGATGCTTATTTATTTCTGTTGGTGGCCGTTCTGTCTTTATCTACAAACTCCGCCTGTAGGAGGACATGCCCGATCTAAACCTAGAGGTCCGTCTTGGTCGCACGCAGGGGCATCTGCAGGGAACGCCCGGGGCAGATCCCCCTCTGCTCCGCCTGCCATCGCATAGGGAGCGGGCAGGCCGTAGGCCACCCGATGAAGCAGCGATTGGTACTGACCGCCCTCCTCCACCCAGGACTCGAGTAGGGGATTCACTACAGAATTGATTTACCCCAACATGGATGTGTCCGTCGAGTCAACAACCCATACGTAGGATGCTCCGAGATATACAGTATTATACGTACTTTTCGCAGATCCGATGGAGAAGCCAATTTCGGGGTACATGAATTCTGTAGTCGATCCCCTAGTCGAAGGACCAGGGGTGGGCCCAAGGGGTGTTTTGGCGATTTCGTGGGCCGTGTTCGTTTTGATGTCGTTTGGCAGCGAGGGCGGATCAAAAAAAGGCAAAACGAGGGGGAAGGAGAACAAGCACGAAAACGGAGAACACTGTTGAGGTCGATCCCTGACCCAGGACCTCTCTTCGGGGCGGCGCCTTCCCCTCGCTGGCCTCCCCCCCGCTGCAGCCCCCCCCTTCCTGGGGGAGACTCCTGGCGAGTACCTCGCGCGGTCCCCTCCCCCCCCCTTCCTGGGGACAGCTCCCCCCCCGCAGGGGACCATCGTCGTGCCTTCCTGTGCCACTGCAGCACACCTTTCTCAGGTCGGAGCAGTTTAGCGACCTGCTCAAATCGGAGCAGTTCAACGATCTGCTTAGGTCGGGGCAGTTTCACGACGTCCGACCTGCTCGGGTCGAGCAGTTTGCGCCCAGATCTGACCGTCCGTGCGCGGCTCCAGAGATCCCGATCCCCTGCCGCACCGCGCGAGCGAGGCGCCCCCCCGCGGCGGGAAAACGGGCTGGCCGTTCGCCCGCATGCGCTCCCCCCTCCGCCCCCCTCCGCTGCGCGGAGGCCCCGCCCTGCCCCAGAGCTCCCGCCGTGGCGCGCGCTCGCCCTCGGCTGTCGCAGCTCCCGCCCCCCCCACCATGACGGGCCTGTCTTCCACCACCACCACCAGAAGTTGGAGGGGGGAAGGATGTGGAGGAGGAGGAGGAGGAGGAGGAGGAGGAGGAGGAGGAGGACGAGGACGAGGACGAGGACGGGGAGGAGGAGGAGGAGGAGGAGGAGGAGGAGGAGGAGGGAGGAGGAACAGAGGAGGAGGAGGAGGAGGAGAGGAGGAGGAGGAGGAAAAGGAGGAGGAGGAGGAGGAGGAGGAGGAGGAGGAGGAGCGGAGGAGGAGGAGGACCACCTCCCCCTCCTAACTACTTATGGTGGTGGTGGTGGTGGAAAACAAGCCCACCACCCCAAACTCGGCGCTGCCGCAGGCCGCCGCCGGCCCCGACGATCGTCGGGCGCTGCGCCAGTCACCGAGCGCGTGCCACTGCCCGCAGAGCGCTCTCTCGCAGACGCTCGACAAACACACGTCCGCATGGGTGCAGTGGCCCGCATGAGGCGGATCCGGGACACTGGCGAGCAGTTGCTGTGCGAGCCGTGGAGCGCGCTTAGCTAGTCATGCGGGGGCGATAGATCGGAGGGCGAACGAAGGTGCACCCTTGTGCACTAAAGGGGCCCCGTTTGGGGCCCAAGAAAAACACGAGACAGGTGCAAACTTTCCCCCCCCCCCCCCCGTGTAAGCAGAGCCCAAGGCCTCGCTGCCAGCTCCCTTCGACCCGCCCCGCCCCCGCACGTCCCCGTCCTCACGGCCTGCCCTTTGCCGGCCGCCGCCGCCATGCTCCTTTCGCCCCGCTGTCGGTGGGTAGCCCCTTTCGGCTCGGGCTGGTTGTTGTTCACAGGGCCATGCTCCACAGGCTGCCCGGAGCCTCTCCTCATCCCTTCCGCTCCTCTCCTCTCCCCTTGGCGGCGCCCATGGTGGGGGGAATGGCGCGAGGGCGTCGGCCTTCGAGAAGGTGGCGGCGGGGCTTCGAAGAATGCACGGGGGGCTTCTCAGAAGCCCCCTCGGCTTCCAAGAAGCCTTCTTAGAAGCCTGCGGGGCCAGGCCCTTACACAACATCGCAAAACAAACATCACGACGGGAACCCTAGAGATCTCATTTCCCTGCCCCACGTCTCGAACCGGGTGGATACAAGCAGTGCTCCGGGACCCGAAGCAGGCGAAACCGCCCAGTGTAGAAACATTGCACCACCAGGATCTCAGGATGAGCCGCCCTCTCGCGCCACCCGCTTCTGGGCGCCTCCAAAAGCCTCGCCCCCTGCGGCTGAGGGCCATGGCGCGCCCGCGCGAGCGCGGCGCAGGGCAGCCCGCCGCACAGGTCAGACCCCCGGGGGCCCACCCCGCTGAAGAGCGGCTTGACCTCTCCAGGCCGCCAGGGCACCACGGTGCACCGCTGGCGGCCCCCGCGGCGGCGGCACGCCCGCGGACCCCGCCGGCCTGCCCTGCCGACGAGCCGCTCGACCTCACGAGGCCCCCCCCCGGGCCGCCGGGACACCGCGGCGCAGCGCCGGCGGCCCCCGTGGCGGCGGCGGCGCGCCCGCGGACCCCCGCGGCGCCCGGCGCACAGGTCAGCTTCGCTGCGCCCGTCCCTACATCCCCACCGGGCCCAGGGCATCCCAGCCCCACTCGGCAGCCCTGGGACGGGGGCCCATGCAAACGGGAGTCAGCCAGAGCGCTGGATCTTTCTTGCAGGATCCTGCAGGGCCAGGGTCGCATGGACCCGGGCTGTGGCGCAGGATCCTGCAGGATCTTGCAGGATCCTTCGCGCTGGCCCGGGTTTGGATGCAGGATCTTGAAGTTTGCAGGGCCTGATTGACCTGGGTCTGGATTGACCCGGGTCAGAAGATCCCCGACCCACCATCCCACCACCCCAGTTGGGGATAAGGCGTACGTTGGGCGTGTCCCTTCACGGGAGGAATATTCCAAAAGAGTCCCCAAAATATGCAGGAGACGATTTTTTGGAAGTTTTGAGTAGTTGAAATCTTGTTTAAGTATCTTTTATGTTTCATCTAGAATCCGCCTGCAGGGGGACATGCCCTACCTAAGATAAGACCCCTCGAAACCCGAAGGTAACAGATCCCACGCCTGCGACGTCCTGAGATTTTGTCAGGACGGCGTCCCTTGAAGTCCCGTCCCTTGAAGTCCTGAGTTGTTTTTTCACGGTCCCGAGGCCCGGCCAGGGCCCCCCGGGGCCGAAAATTGCCAGAAGCCGTCCCTCCTGATTTTTTTTCCCGACGCGGGCACGTCTGGGGACAGCTGTATCTCCATCCAGGGGGGGTACAAGGCAGCCAGTGGTGCCCAGGCCACGCCCGTGCGGGCAGGGATCGGGCCAGCGACGCCGCACAGGGCAGGCCGTGGCGAGCCTCCTCCGCGGGGGGGGCGCTCGACCTCCCGCGGGGCCCCCCGGGGCCGCAGCCGGGCCCCCGGGGCCCGGAGCCGGGGCCGACGCGGGGTCGACCGCGCCCCGCGGGCGCGGCGGGCGCCCCGCACGAGGCAGCGCCGCTCGACGCCTCGGCGCGGGCCGCCGGGCCGCCCGTGCACCGCGGCGCACCGCCGGCGGCCCCCGCGCCGGCGGCGCAGCCGCGGGCCCCGCTGGCGCTGACGCTGCTGGAGCCGCGGCCCCGCCTCGCGCAGCCGCCGCTGGCGGGCAGCGAGCTGACGGCGAGCGGCGGCGGCACCGCCTGCGGGGGGTGCGGCGGGCAGGAGGTGCGCCACGGGTGCGGCCACTGGCGGTGCGTCACGCTGACGTGCAGGCCCGCGTGGTTCCAGCACATGGAGGCCTGTGATGTTCCGACCTACTCTAGCCTCATGGCCGCCAGAAAAGAACTTGGAGCACCAGGGAAGTACCGAAAAAATTGAGCGTTCGCGCGTGTCGGGCCCCAGGGAGGCGATACTCGTTCGACACCGTTTCGATACTTTTCCGGGTGCTCGAAGTTATTTTTTGGGATGTGGCCCTCAAGTACGGTAGGGAACAGCACAAGTGGAGGCCAAGAGCTGGCTCGTGCCGAGGTCGCTGGAGCGCATGCTCGACGCGAGCCTGTTCGAGACCCTCGACCGGTGCGAGGACTGCCGGCCCGAGGGGCGGTGCCTGCGTGGCGAGGCGGCCGCCCGCCCAAGGTACTGCAACTTCGTGTTCAAGAGGGGCACCTGCAAGTTCGGCTCCAAGTGCCCCGACTGCCACCTGCACGGCCGCAGGGTGACCCACCATGACTGCTCGGCATACCCTCGCCCACAGGCGCATTGCACCCGCGACCGCGCTCCTGACCCCGGGAGGGGTCCAGCACTCGTGGGCGGCGCCGTGGAGTGCGCACAGTTGCCGTGTACGCCCCCGCCAGAAGACCTCGAGGCCTAGGACGGAGACGGGTGGCATCCGAATGGGTGACCAGCCCACGGCAAGGGGCGTCGTAGGCGGTGCCGGTGGCAGGTGATTCTGAGCGTTGGGGTCCGGCGCTCGGAAGGTCGGCGCGTCTGAGCAGTCTCCGCATCCAAGTTTTAACATCTTGTCTTCTCCGGGCGCGCGCCTCAAGACCGATTTCTGCCGTTTTTATGCCATCGATGACCCTTCTCCAGCTTGGCGCCGCTCTCTCCCGCCCGCCTTTTGCTCAAGCGGGTGCCGTCCAGAGCAGAGGCTCCCTCCACGCCGTTGCCCTCAGCCCGAGGACGCCTCGACGAAGTCACCGTTGGCGCGGCGTTGCTTGCACGCGAGTCAGCAGCTTCCTGTTTTGTGGCAAGTGCGGGGCATCTGGGTCGGCAGGGCTGCGAAAATGTTGACCGCCTGCACCGGAGAACCAGCGAGCTCTTTTTCAAAGCACAGTGTTATTCATCTGTGTTGGCTGGCCAGGGCGCCGAATGGATTGGGTGGAGCCCTCTGTCATACAGACGATCGTCCCGGCCCTATCCCCACTTTCTGTTGAAAATCCACCGTGTTCCGCGGGGTCGCTTCGGTGAAATAAACGACCCAGCAAGAGCTTCCCTGACCTCCCAGGTGACTACCCTTTTATAGCTTGGCGCCGCCCTCTCCCGCCCGCCTTTTGCTCAAGCGGGTGCCGTCCAGAGCAGAAGCTCCCTCCACGCCGTTGCCCTCAGCCCGAGGACGCCTCGACGAAGTCACCGTTGGCGCGGCGTTGCTTGCACGCGAGTCAGCAGCTTCCTGTTTAGTGGCAAGTGCGGGGCATCTGGGCCGGCAGGGCTGAAATAATGGTGACAGCTTGCACCAGAGAGCCAGCGAGCTTTTTTTCGAAGCACAGTTTTACTTGTCCGTGTTGGCTGACCAGGTCGCTGAGTGAAGTGGATGGAGTCTTCTGTCATACAGACGCGTCATGTAGACGCTATGGGGAGTCCTCCCAGCCTTCTCCCCGCTTTCTTTTGAACATCCACCGTGTTCCACGGGGTCGCTTCGGTGAAATAACGAACCAACAAGAGCTTCCCTGATCTGCCAGGTGACTATCCTGTTATAGCTTGGCGCCGCCCTCTCCCGCCCGCCTCTTGCTCCAGAGGGCGGCGTCTAGAGCAGAGGCTCCCTCCACGCCGTTGCCCTCAGCCCGAGGACGCCTCGACGAAGTCACCGTTGGCGCGGCGTTGCTTGCACGCGAGTCAGCAGCTTCCTGTTTAGTGGCAAGTGCGGGGCATCTGGGCCTGCAGGGCTGAAACAATGGTGACAGCCTGCATCAGAGAGCCAGCGAACTTTTTTTCGAAGCACAGTTTTATTTGTCCGTGTTAGCTGACCAGGTCGTTGAGCGAATTGGGTGGAGTCCTCTGTCATACAGACGCGTCATGTAGACGGTATGGGGAGTCCTCCCAGCCCCATCTTCCCCGTTCACTCTTGAACATCTACCGCGTTCAGCGGTCTCGGTAGAATGAGGCCAATGAGCCAGACATGTTGCTATCTAGCGCGACTGGGAGGGGTTTAATTTTTTGCTTTCATCGTGGGCCATGACCGCGCAAGTTCACGACTAGACGCCTTTTCTGTGTTTGCGGCAGCAAGTTTGCCGATTGGGGTGCGCACACACCAATTCGGTTCGCCGGGTTGCCCTCAATGGCGCGGTTTGGCGCGAATGTTGGTAACCTTGCGTGTCACGTTCCAGATTGTTCCAGCGCATCTCAGTCACCATGGCCATGCGGCTGCTACTGTTTCTCCTCCTACTCCTACTCCTTCTCGCCTCGCACGGCTCATAGTCGACGCGGCTTGGGGGGGCGAATTGGCGACTAGGATGCATGAGTTTCCTTTACTCGCAGTGTTGCGGAATGTGGCGCGGCTTGGTGCGACGGCCTGCATCTTTTGTGTCGGCTTCGGCGGTTCGTGTGTCTCACCTCTGCCTTCTGTGCCATCTGTGGGGCTGTTGGCATTGCCTGGCAGCCTGCCGCGCGACGTCACCGAGCCGCACACGCGGCCTGCAGCTCTGCGCCTACGAAGCTCCACTGCCCATATCCGCAGCTTCCGTTCCAGCTCGCAGAAGTTTTTTTTGGCGCAGTTTTTGCCAGACCGCCTGCGCACGAGTGAGGAGGTCCCCCACATAAAGGACACGCTTCCAGGGCCGCAGACGTCTCGAGAATCAGTTCAAGGTTCAGAGTTCGGGCCGCACACCGAAAAGCACAGCTCTGAATGGTTCGCGATTCGATCTACTTCAGCCGTCAGGGTCCTGCGGGCGGTCGAGCTAAAAGGGAAACAACCGATACAACGACCACACTCACTTTGAGATGGCATGGCACCCCGAATGACCATCCTCAAGCTTGGTGCCGCCCCCTCCCGCCCGCCTCTTGCTCCAGAGGGCGGCGTCCAGAGCGGAGGCCCCCTCCACGCCGTTGCCCTCAGCCCGAGAATGCCTCGACGAAGCCACAATTTGTGCGACGTTGCTTGCACGCGGGTCAGCCGCTTTCTGTATTGTGGCAGGTGCGAGGCGCTTGAGGCGGCAGGGGTAAGAAGATGCTGGCCACCGGCACGTTACGACCTGCGCGGCATGGCTTGAATGGCCGTTCGGTGTTGCACCGCCAGCGTGCCAGGTCTCCTAAGGAACCCATCGAGACCCCGATTAGGTGCAACGCAGTGGAGTGCAACGCAGCATGACGCTTCTCGATGCCAGACAGAGCGCAGCACAGCAGATCGAGGCATCGTAGCACAGCGCAGCGTTGTTTAATTATAAATATTTCAAATTGCTCATGAACGCAGCTCGCAGAAGATTTCGAGAGGCATTATGTATGCCAGGTCGTCTGGTTAAAAAAAGAGCGCTGCCATACCAAGATAGAGCCTCCAGAGTTGCCGATGTCTCAGGAAGCAGTTCTACGGTCAGAGCTCGAGCCTGCCATCGGAACGTAAAGTGATGGAACTTCCCGGTTCGCTTGGCTGCAGTCTCTTGAATATTGTGGGGGCCGCGAGATGCGTACGGAGTATACAGGGCTCAAATGTCATGACCAGTGGGGCTCAAGGTAAGGCTGCCCATGCTGCACAGAATTGGCATAGTTTCTTGGAAGGTCACAATTCGTAGTCTTGACCACCTGGAGTGTCACTTAGATTGTCCCTGACGATAGGTGAAGATCTGAGGCAGTCTGCACTCTTTCGAGAAACACCTTCAATGCGATGTCTTGGAAATGCCGAAGCGACCTCAAGCAGAATGCTGTAGCTCTGATAGCGTCACGTCACTCTAACCCCGAATCGCACCTCCAGGCACTGTTCCTTTGGGATCCTGTTGTTCTGGCAATCCGGCGACGAATCCCAAATCGGCGGCTTCGTGCTTAAGGGCCACGCTCCTCGCAAAACCAGCCCCCGGACTGATGGAGACGTTTCAAGTTTGCCCCAAGATGCGTTAAGGAGCCAAGATGCCCGCAGAGAGCCCAAGGACACCCTAACTCCAAGAGGCTCCCAGATGCCGCCCGAAAAGCCCCAAGAGGCCCCCTGGCCCAGAGCGCTGGCCCTCAGCGCGAGTCCACCTGCGGCTGTGAGTGTGCCATGTCTGTAGTGTGAGCGGCAGCATCGCCCTGTAGCAAGCAGTTGCCTCAGGGGCTTGGGCGGCGCGGGGGGACGACGGAGGCGCCGGGCAGGAAATGGTTGCAGCGTCAAGGCCAGATCTAAGTCGGGCCTGTCCCTCTACAGGGGGGAGGTTCAACAAAAAGTAATAAAAGATAGTCTTGGGACGATTTGTGGACCATTTCTGGATTTTCTAAGGGTATGTTTGGACCATATTCTATTTTTCATCCAAAATCGGCCTGTGGGGGGACGGGCCCGACGTAAGGCCAGATCCGTCGCTCGAGCGCACGAAGGCCCACCTCCGCTCAGCAGGGCGGAGAGCGTCAGAAGCGGGCGGCTTCCCGTCGACCGACGGATCGGCACGGGTTCTCTGGGGGCTGCCAGGAGGGGAAAAAAGCACATTTGTTTTGCCATCCAGCGGAGCCCTGTGGCACAGAGGCAGGAGGGGGAAGGAGGGAGGGAGCGGGGGGGGGGGAGCCAGGCGCGCGGCTCACAGCCCGGCCGCGTGCACCTAATTAGTCTGGCGCTCTCGGGCGGGCCTCCCGGCGAGCCTGGAGGGCGCCCCGCCAAGCCGCCTCCGCGCCGCCCGCTTGCGCTGCTGGGAGCAGGAGGGAAAGAAGCACACAGGCACAATTTGTAATCGTCGATCCCCCGGAGAATATGGAAGCATATGGGGAGCGGGGGAGAAGATACCACAAACCCAGAAAGCATGGGAACGTATGGGGAATCCGACTATCTGTGTGTATCTACCTGTGTGCCCCAGGGCCCCTTGCAGGTCGGCGCGAGCCGCGAGGGGAAGCTTTGGGCTCTCTTGGGCGACGCCGCCGATATCAGCCAGGCAGCCGGTGCTGGCCGTCCGCCGGCAGAGGTCACGAGACAGGGGTGTCTACACGGGACCCGCCGGCCAAGACCCCCTCGAGTTATGTCAGCGGCGCCGTAACGGGTACTCACTAACGGGTACTTTTGAAAATTGCGGAAAGTTGCCACTTTAGGGCCTCTTTGTGGCATTGCAGCGTTGCCCACATCGGGGAGGGTTAGGTTCGCAGGGTCACTGGCCAAAGCACCCGTTAGTGGAGTCCCCGTTAGAGGGGCGCTGATTATGAAAAAATCACGACGAGCGGTTTTCATGATCTTTGGCTTCTGGGAGCCCTTACCGGCCTTCGGGGCCGTCAAGAACGACTCAGGGCGAAAGACCGGTCCCTGGGAACGGGTCCAGACAGGCTCCTGAGGGTCCGAATAAGCGAAGGGCGAACTCAGGCGAAACAGCAGTTCTCTAGGCACAAAACAGGCCGGGGCCTAGACACGTGAAGGACATTGGGAACTGCGTGTTCTACCCTAACCTCCTCAGGTAATGATTGTTCAATGCGGTCGTTTTGTATGATTTTTTTTGT